CCCCAAAACCCCAAAACCCCAAAACCCCTTAGATGGAAGGAATAATTGAAAGTAGCAGGTGATGGAAATGCACATCTTTAGACAAAATACTTGATTCTGCAGATAGAATGGCTGATCTAACAGGGCTTCAACTTGCAGAAATAAATACTCAATCAGGGATTAGGCCTACCAATATCAGTCAGTTTTTGGAAGAAAATAATAAATTAATCCTATAATTCCTCAAAGTGGTTTCCTTGATAGATATTAAGTGCCAGTTGTTTTAAACCAATATTATGGTACTCTTCTTAGTCCTGAGACAAAGTATCGAACAGAATCTGATGAGGAAGAATCCGAGATTTTTGGTGTAACATTAATACCTCGAATTCAATAGAAAACTCGTCAAATCATTGATAAAGTGAGTATAAGAGAAGATTCAAGAGAGTCTACAGAAACTCGTCCCTGCAAATGGTGTATTTTGGTGGCAGAATATGCTGTTTCAAACCTAGAATTGCAAAGATTACAGATGAATTCATCATGATGTATTAGTTTGAAATTGGAGCAAAGAAGCCATTGTTTTGATACATGGTTACATGGCCAGTGCACTCCATATGTTCAGAAAATTCTAACTTCTTGAATCTGATCATCACCTTTATGCCATTGATTTACTTAGAAGTGAGCTTTCTTCAAGACCAGTTTTTTTGTCTAAGAATTATGATGAAGCTGAACCCTTCTATACTGAATCATGGACGCAAAATATGAATATCACTAATTTTACATTAATAGGGCATTCAGTGGGGGGTTATGTACCTGTGAAGCATTCTTTGGAGTATTCCTAATATACCAAAGCTATTTAAATGATGCCTAGGCTTTCCATTTGTCAAGATCCGCCAAGCATATACAAATGTCCAATGTAATCACAGCAATCTTTTTAGATGACTTGGAGGTTGAGTTACCAGAACTCTTTATAAACAAAGTTTAAAGAAATTGCTTGGGCAATGATAAATGAAGAACTTAATGGAATGGAGGGTATATATTAAATCTTAAACAATGGTGAATCCTCTGAGAATAAAATCACATATTTCATGCAGTACCATACCATTTCTTATAAGCCAATAGTAGATGATATTAATGTTCACTCTACATGCGGAGATGATGACTGGTTGGACACTAATTTTTTGGATAGAAGAGTTTCTGAAGAATTAATTGAAAAAGGATATAACCGACACTTTGTAACTTCACTTCTTGGACATTTTAATCAAGATCTTTTCAATCATAGGTTTGTAACATGGGGTTTTGGGGTTTTGGGGTTTTGGGGTTTTGGGG